CCCTATGGTTAATAAAGGTGGCCTTGCTTGACTCATCCTCCACCTCAAGACAGACTTAGATTTCAACACAGGATACATATGAGACAGGCTGTTTCACAAGGGGTTTTCTCAATTGAACTGTTTACATTGTGACTTATTCTACAAAGTACACTGTTCTTAATTGGTGGAATTACAGTAATTCTTATCATCTGTGTTCAAAATTTCTACAGTTCTATAAAATATTTTGGGGTGGTAGTGGTGGTACCAGGGATTGAACTCAGGGGCACTCAAACACTGAGCCACATCCCCAGCCCTATTTTGTATTTTATTTAGAGACAGGGTCTCAGTAATTTAGTGCTTTGCTTTTGCTGAAGCTGGCTTTCAACTCGGAATCCTCCTGCCTCAGCCTCCCGAGCTGCTGGGATTACTGGCGTGCACCACTGTGTCCACTGTAAGATGTACCTCAATTCTAAAGATACTTTCCCTCCTTTGTGTTTCCCCCTGGTTTGCGTGGGAAGCATTCTGATTGGCTGCTCGCCAATCAGTGCAGATCTGGCAAGACTGCTTCTTATAGACAAATTGCTTTTCTTTGGATTAATTCAAATCAGTCATACAAACCAAGTACTTTGCTTGTATTCATGGCTTGCATTTTTCTGACCTAAGAGCTAATCTTTCCAAAACCATCTGTTGCTTCAAATTGGCTAAAATGGGGGCTTTGGATGCTAACTCCAACTGCCCGTCACATCCCCTCTGACATGGGACCATGCAGATCAAAGAATGGGAAGAGCCCCTGCTACGTGGAAGCCCAGGTGCTTGGCCGAGTCAACAGAGTTCAGGGAGGATCCTTCAGATGGAGGAGAGTCACTGGGAGGCTGTGGAAGGAGCACCTCTGTAGACGAACATAAAGCCTTTCTCGTAGGCAGAGCTAGTAAATATTTCAGAATCTGCCTCCTTCAGGGGTAAGCAGCTGACGGCTTGTGATGAGCTGTACACAGCAGTCCAGCAACGGACTGCCAGCCAGGTGACCTGGACGCCCCATTTGCCCCAGGATGAGGGGTGAACTCAACAGGCATTTGAACTGACCGAACTGGGTCCCCATCTGAAACGGAGTGATTTCCTCATGCTGAGAGTGGAGGCGGAGGCTGTGACCTCCCACCCTGACCTGCGAGGCCTGTCTAGCGCCGGCTGGCCAGAGCTCATGTGTACCTTTGGTCACTTCTGGTCTCTTCTCCTTTAAAAATTCTGCTAATTTTCAGGGATTTCAGAGATGGATTGTTTGAAACAATTAAGTTTCTTCTGTCTTCCTTCAAAACTGGCTTTGAGTAAGACCTATTTTCTTATCAGTTTGACTCCAAATATTTCTGGAGCAGTGAGTGTGATAGCCTCACCTCCTACAGGCACAATTAGAGCCACGTGACAGTACTACCAGTCTCCTCACCTTCCTCCTCACCACACTCCTCCCACTAAAATCTCTTTCTTTTTTCTTTTTTTTTTTTTGCAATGCCAGGATCACACCAGGGCCTTAGCCAGGCGTGGTGATGCACTCCTGTAATCCCAGCAACTTGGGAGGCTGAAGCAGGAGGATTGTAAATTTGAGGCTAGCCTCAGCAACTAGGTGAGACCCTACTCAACTTAGTGAGACCCTGTCTCAAAATAAAAAATAAAAAAATTTTAAAAGGTGGGGGCTGAACGTATGTCTCAGTGCTCAGATTCCCTTGGTTCAATTACCAGTACAAAACAAAACAAAACAGAAAACCAGACTCAGGGGTGCTTACCCACTGAGCCATGCTGTACTGCTGAGCGTGCCCTCACTCCAGAATCTATTATTTTTTTTGGGGGGGAGTACTAGGGATTGAACTGAGGGCCACTCGACCACTGAGCCACAACCCCAGCCCTGTTTTATATTTTATTTAGAGACAGGATCTCACTGAGTTGCTTAGGGCCTCACTTTTGATGAGGCTGGCTTTGAACTTACCATCCTCCTGCCTCAGCCTCTTGAGCCTCTGGGATTACAGGCATGAGCCACTGGGCCTGGCCTGTTGTTCCTTTTTTAACAACCAGAATATATCAAGAATGTCAGGGGCTGGGGATAAGGCTCAGTTGGTAGAGTGCTTGCCTAGCATGCCCAAAGCCCTGGGTTCAATCCCCAGCACCACCAAAAAAAGTAAAACAAAACAAAAGAATGTTGGAAAAGAAATTCAGCAAATACAGATTAGAAAAGTCCATAGGTACATGGTGTGAATCCTCAATTGAAAAACACGGCCCTAAAAGACGGTAGATTCTTATTAAATGAGTAAAGTTGAAACCAACTTCACATTTTAAAAACTAACAAAGCACGGCTATTGTCACTGTGCCGCTTTTGTTTAGTATCAGGCAGAGCAGCAGGACCGCAGGACCGTGTCACTGTGTCACCGCCGCCAGGAGACCCTGGCCATCCGCCCCCCCCCCCACTTCCTGCAGCATGGGCCCTGGAGGCTGATGTCAGGCAAAAGCATCTCCACATTCCCCTCAGCATGGAAGCATAACTGAGAGACCCAGTGGATCCCAGCACCGCTCCTTGTACAAGGTGGAAGGACTGTGCTGTGCGGGTCTCCAGGGCCTGTGGGAAATCTCCAGGGCTGTTTCCGGAATGAAAAATCCATTCTGCATTTGACTGGGGGAGGGAGGGCAGGCTACCAAAAGCCGCCCCGTTTCACTGAAGACAGGATCATGGGTTACTGAGACAAATGCTGCCCACCCAGCCCTCACCCCTGGTGACTACGATAGGACACTCTGGAAAACACAGGAGCCAGTGCAGCTGTAAAAACCACAGCCTCCTGCAATCCTAGCCACTCGGGAGGCTAAGGTAGGAGGATCACAAGTTCAACGCCAGCCTCAGCACCTTAGTGAGACCCTAAGCACCTTAGTGAGACCCTAAGCACCTTAGTGAGACCCTAGCTCTCAATAAAATGTAAAAAAAGTTTGTGTGTGTGGGGGGGATGCTGTGGGACTGCATTCACACTTTCCCCTGATTAAAAAAAAAAAAAAGGATGGGGTTGGGGCTTAGCAGTTGACCCTGGGTTAAATCCCCAGTAGCCCCCCACCAAAAAATGACCTTACATCTTCCATAATCCAAGAAAATATTGCCATTTTAACAGATAAAAGGCCAAATTCTAGTTTTGTTTCTGTACAGTTCTTAATACTAAAGTTCTTTTTGAAAGTCTTACAAAGTTATTAAACCTTAGCCAACTTTGAGCATACAGAATTCCTTCCCTAAACTTAACAGATTTCCGTAGATACATCCATACCCTAATAGTGTAACTTTTCAAGGTGCCTCAAATCAGTATACTCTTTAATGGACCCATATGTGCTTACATCAAACTAAATTTAACCCGAGGATGCCTCCAGGGGCTGAGTGCTTACCTATGAGATCGCAACTTAGCTTCATGTGTAAGCCAGACACAGCAGCACATGCCTGCAATAGGCTGAGGTGGGAGGATTGCAAGTGCCAGACCGGCCTCATCAACTTAGTGAGACCCTGTCTCAAAATAAAAAGCGGGGGAGAGGCTGGAGATGTGGCTCAGTGGTTAAGCACCTGTGGGTTCAATCCCTGGAACTTAAAAAAAAAAAAAAAAGGAAGAAAAAAAGGCAAAATAAAAAACTCAGTTATATTTGTAATTAATGTTTCTGTGTTACTTAGCATCGCTCTGGGAATTGGGTGGATGAATGGCCATTGGCATTAGTTGGTGGCATATGCGTTGTTCAGTGCTGGGGGTTGAACCCAGAGACTTAGCACGCATGTGCTTTGCCACCAAGCTGCACCCACCTGGGTGAATGTTTTGTTACCTACAGTCTTGGGAATATCTTCAGTTGACAAATTGCAAAATATATTCACTGTTGAAATAAAGTTTGTCAGAATAACGATTCAATTTGTTGAACAAATTTAGATTTTTCAAGATCTCTCTAAGTTGTTTGTGTCCTCACTAAGTTGCTGAGGCTGGCCTCACGATCCTCCTGCCTCAGCCTCCTGAGTTGCTGGGACTACAGGCATGCATCATCATGCTGGCTTTATGAACATATTTTAAACGACCACAGTATTCCCTCAGGCCACCAGTTCCTCTCTGAATTCACGTTCTATGGCGGCAATCACAAGTTACCACAGACGCAGAGGCTTAAAATAACACAAATTTATTATATGACGTTTCTGGAAATGAAAATCCCAAATGGGTCTCCCGGGTTGTTGTGGCTTGGTCCCCAGAGCAGCAGCGTTCAGAGGTGGGGCTTTGGAAGGTCCCTGGATGAGGAGGGCTCCAGCCTCACCAGGAGGTTGGTCCGTTGCCGGGTTCGCAGCCTGGTGGTACAGGAAGGTGGAAGCTTGCTGAACCTCCGTGGGCCAGAGGGGAGGCGGCAGGTCATGCTGGGCATGCCCTGAGGACGTGGCCTCTGGTCCTTCCTCTGTCTCTGCTCCTGGGCTGGCTGCCAGGAGCTGAGCAAGCTTCTGTCTGTAGCGCTTTGCCAGGATGCGAATCCTCCGTCCTGGATGCTCCAGGAGAAGTCGGTGTAAATGGAGAACTGGGGTCACTGGAAGCTGGGAAGGCGGGCAGGGAGATGGAGGGAAGTCCGGCACCATCCACGGTGAGTTCTAGTGTCCCCTCGCACGGGGTGACCGCAGCTGACGCCCACCTGGCTCCCATTTCATGAACAGCCGGACAGGATGTGACCCTGGGTCCCTCCCAAGGCAGGGTCACTGCCCCTGGTCAGCCTGAAGCCTCCGTGGAAGGGGGACCCTCACCCCACCAACTCTTTAAGATCAAGGGAGCAAAGTTGGGGGGCGGGTGCAATCGGGATTTAGGATAAAGATAGAGACCAAGTCTTAGAGGATCCGCTCACGAGCCACCGGGGTGCAGAAGGCCCTGCACGACCCGCCCTGGTCCAGCCTGTAAGTCAGGACAGCGCCCAGCGCAGGGACATGGAGAGAGACTGAGGAGCTGGGCCCTGGCTCCTCCCCACGCCAGCCCAGAACTGTCAGCCAGGACAGGAGCCCCCAGCCTGCGGCGCTGTCCCTCCCTCGCAGGTGGCCTGTGTCCTCCCTTGAGCGCCTGATCCTTGCCTTACCCCAAAGGCCTCTCTCAGGTCACTCACGTCCTCCCTGGAATGGGACCCTGTGTCCTGGACGGGCCCACGCTGCTCTTCTCTTCTGTCAGGCATGTCAGGAGCCTCGCTGGCCCTGAGCAAGGCCCCCTTCTCCCCTGATATCACCTCCAAAGCACTGCAGCTGCCCTACAAATGACACCCCAAGCTGTTCCCCCTGCACCTGTCGGGTGGACCTCCGGTCATCCCACCGCCCAGCCACTGGTAGGTGAAGAGCCTTTCCCTTCTTTCTTCTTCTTTTTGAACCACCCCCTCAGGCATCAAACTCACTAGTCCAAGGGCAAGCCAGGTCCCAGCCCGGCTTCTAGGGTTGGCTCCCAGGGCCGGCCACTTCCCCACACAGCCCTGGCCTGAGTGGGAGGGAAGCAGGCAGCCGTGGCTGAGAGGTGGCAGTGAGGTCAGATCCCAGCAGACAGCCCATCGTCAGGCCTACAGACCCAGCCCAGCTCCCCTTCCCTGGGCCTGGGCAGACAGGACCAATCAATTGCATCACTTCCCCACTGAGTCAACCCAAAGCTGCAGACAGCCGTGATTAGTTAGTGGGCATGGGGACTGGGGGGAACTGGCTGGCCGTTCTTGACCCAGACGCAGACAGGATCCCCCGGTCAGGGCGGCTGAGTCAGAAGCCAGGGAGGAGGGTCGTGGTCAGAACACACAGGAATCGCAAAAGCGGTGAGGTCAAGGGCGGGCGGGGGTCAGGGGGCCTTAGCAGAACCTCCCTGCAGAAGGAGGGCATGACTCAGGTCCTCAAACGCGAGTCCCCAGGGCACTGTCACTAGGCAGCCTGGCTCTTGAGGTCGGTGTGACTCACTTCCATCCCTCAGGCTGGAAGCGCAAGGCCCAGAGCAGGTGGGTGTCACCAGGGTTCTGCTGCACCTGGACACACGCTTCTGCACGATCAGCCCCTGAGCTCAGGAACAGGACCCCGGGATCAGCTCCTCTCCTGACCTTCACCCTGGAGCTGAGACTCTGCCAGATGCCCCCACCCGCCATGGCCCGGTGCTGGGCTCTCGACACTCAGTGGCCGCTCAGGCCCCCTCCTGCCTGTGCTAGGCTTTTTTTTCCTACCGCTGCTGGTGCGGGGCCTGAGAACAGCCTGACCTGTGAGAAGTCAGGTCTGGGACCTGTGTTCGGCTTCCAGCTCTTTTCTATTGTCTTCCCCCAGGCGGATTCCAAGGGCTGGCACGTGTAGACAAGCACTCTACCACTGAGCTGCATCTCAATCCTTTTCATTTTGTTTTGAGACGGGGTCTCACTAAGTTGTTGAGGCTGGCCCCCACCTGGAGATCCTCCTGTCTCAGCCTCCCAACGTGCGGGGATTTGTAGGCATGTGCCACTGAGCCTGGTTGGCCGGCTCTCAGTTCTCTGACCTCGCCTCTCCACCCCGCTGACCAGGCACAAAGCCAAAACCCCAGAGATGAGTGAGGGAGAGCCTCCAGGAAGGCCCAGAGGTGAGGAGGCCAGCCCTCTTCTAAGACTCTCCCTCCAGCACCCCAGCTCCTTGTCTCTCTGTGGGGCCCCACACCCAGGGACAGTGGCTGGAGAGACCCTTCTTGTGGGCAGGTGATGCAGTGTCCAGGACTGGCAAGGATGCAGGGGACTGGGAAGACAGAGCTGCCCTTGGCGGGCCAGGAGCATGTTCAGGTCCCACCTGCCCTTTGCCAGCCTCTAGACCCGGCTGTGCCTCATTCTGGATCAGGGAACACACCAATGACAGTGGTCACTGTATGGACGTGCAAATGAGGGCCAGGGCGGGGGGAGGTCACTCAAACCTCAAGATCAAGGGGGATGGGAGCCAGGGCCCGGTCCGGGCCACCTCACTGCCCCTGCCCCACCCCTGCTGGAGCGCAGTGACTGTCCTGCACTCCTGCCTGGAACCCCTGGGAGTGTTGAGCATGATGGCAGGAGTCCTTTAATTAGGAGGCTGATCTTCCAAAAGCAAAGAAGCGAAGCTGCACCCTAGTGGCTGAGCAGCGGCAGAGCTCGGCTTGAATGGCCAGCAGGTGGCAGGGCTGGCTGTGGCCATGGGAGAGGACAGCGGGGAGCATTGCTCAGCTCCAGGTGGTTCCACCTGTCACATCCCCAGTCCTTTTCTCTTTTTTTTTTTTGGTCGTGCTGAAGATTGAGTCCAGGGCTTTGTGCATGTGAGGCATCCCTTTCCATATATTATTTTTTTTAATTTTGAGACAGAGTCTCACCAAATTGCTTAGGGCCTTGCCATGTTGCTGAAACTGGCTTTGAACTTTCAATCCTCCTGCCTCAGTCCCCCTGAGCCATGAAATTTGATTTTTAAGTGTGGTCAACTGTATTTTATTTTATTTTTTTAAGAGAGAGTGAGAGCGGAGAGAGAGAGAGAATTTTTAATATTTATTTTTTAGTTCTCAGCGGACACAACATCTTTGTTGGTATGTGGTGCTGAGGATCGAACCCGGGCCGCACGCATGCCAGGCGAGCGCGCTACCGCTTGAGCCACATCCCCAGCCCCGGTCAACTGTATTTTAAAAAAATGTTTAGCCAGGTGCAGAGGCACACAACACAATCCCAAAGATGTGGGAGGCCAAGGCAGGAGGATTGCAAGTCAGCCTTAGTGAGATCCTGGCTCAAAATAAAAATAAAAACAGGGATATGGCTCAATGTGTAAACTGCCCCAAGGTAAGTCCTCACGTCCCCCACACACATTTGTTTTAATATTTATTCTCTAGTTGTAGTTGGACACGGTATCTTTATTTTACTTATTTTCATGTGGATCGAACCCAGGGCCTCACACGTACTAGGCGAGCGCTCTCCCGCTGAGCCCCAGCCCCAGCCCTCCCTCCCATATACACATTTAAACACATCTTCAGGCCACTATGAGCAGCCTGCAGTCTGAGAGCAACTCCACGGAAATCTCGACTCACCTGCAGGCCTCTGGCTGCCCTTCTATGTAGCCTGAGGCTGTGTTCCCCTGGAGATCTCTTCCCACCACCCGCCACTAGTGTGGGTCATTTCTATATCCTGTCCCAAGGAGGGGAGTCCTTTGCTGCCAGACAACTGTGCCCGCCCTGGTGCCCTAGCTGTGGACCCAGGGTTGGTCCACTGTGCTTGCACAGTACCACTTTGTGGTAGTTTCAAGGATCCCCACATCCAGGCTCCGCTGCCTCTGTATGCAACCCGAGGACACTCCTGACTGCCATTTCCGCGGCCCTGTATCGCCCCAGCCCCCTCCTTGTGTGCCCAGTTATTGGGGTTTAAGTCTGCAGTCTGCAGCTTCAGCCCTGGACCTCCAGCACCACGGCTCCCCGCAACCACCCAACCTCCGGGATGCCCTTGGCCCCACCAAGCTTGCGCCCAGCCGGTGGCCTGGTCCCACTGAAACTCAGATGCAGCCTGGGGCCTTCCAAGCTACTGTCTGCTCCTGAGATCACGGCTCTCCTTCAAACCCCCTTCCAAGCCAAGTTGCCCACTGGCCAGACAGGTCCACTGCCCCAGGCACCCGGGACCTGGACCTTCCCTTGTCTTTGAGGATGGGCTCCCCCTCTGCCCTTGTCCCGGGGCACCAAGCCAGGGCTGGTGTAGCCTGGGTGAGGATTGCATGCAGCCATGGGCTGGACCCCAGGGCTACAAAACAATCATTCCAGGTAGAGGCCTGGTTGCCCCAGTGGCCTGAAAGGCTCTTTCCCTAGCCTAGGCCACACCCTGCTCCCTCTGCTTCAAGTTCCCAGGACTTTTAGCTCTCCGGATCCACTTACCTGCTGCCACCTTGGGAACCGGATGCTCCCTGTTCTCTGCTTCTCCTCCAGCTCCACCCACACAGCTCCCTCTGTCCCCTCTCTCAACCACTGCTCAATGCCACATTCTAGCGGGACCCTCCCTGGTCCCTCTATTTGAACGTGTGTGTGTGCAGAAATGGGTGGCGGCGATAGCTGCCCAGCACTGTGAATACGCATTCAATGCCAGTGAATTGTACCCTTAGGAAAGGCTTAAGTGGCAAACATTTTAAGTTTCAAAGCAAACAAAACTGCACAAGCACTATCAGCCCTTTTCCTTGGAAGCATCTTTTCCAGACGCTGTGTTTATTTATTTGCTGGTCTTCCACCTCCCTGCAGCCTGCCAGCTCCTGCCACAGGGGCTCGTGTATCCATCTGGACACTTAGGAGCGCATTCCCCACACCTGCCTCCAGAGGGCGCCATGACCACGGTGATGAGATCTGCACCCAGGCCCTGCCTGGGCCACAAGGCCACCACTGTACCATGTGAAGCCAGTGTTGCTCTGCAGGTGAAGGGGACCCTGCAGATCCTTCCCCATCCCAGGCAGGACTCAGTTCCTCTGCCTTGTCACCCACTGGGTGTCCACAGGTTTGGAAAGATGGCAGCATGTGGACACAATATGGGCAGGTCACACATGATTAAGCTGGTATCTTGGTGCCCCTCAGGAAAGAGGTGAGGATCCAGGAGATGCCCCTGCAGAGTCTGAGTACCCACAACAGTGGTGACTGCCTCCCTGCTTGGGAGGCACCCGCCTCCTTCCCTGGCCACCCAGTTCCCAATGCCAGGCATGTCCTGGTTCTGTCATCAGCTGACCCACCTGTGCCCTCCAGTCTGCAGCCGGAGCTTGCTACAGCCATGGCTCCGGCAGGCAGGACGGGTTCTGGTGGTGCAGACCCAAGGCCACCTGCTGGCCTGGCCCCATGGCAGCACTGCCTCCCCAGGAGCCCTTGTGAAGCGTCCACCATGAGGGCAGCCCAGCCAGGGGCTCAGGCTTACTGGCTCAACACTGCCCCGCAGGCACCAGAGGGCAGCCTTGGAGTCCCACTGAGCCCAGGAGTTAGAGACCAGCCTGGGGCAGCAAGAAACAAAGTCCTCCCCTGCTGGAGTCACCAGGGCTGGCTGCACTGTGTGGCCCAGTCCTGGCCTGCCAGAGCCCAACGCCTGCCTGTTGTGATTCCCAGCAGCCCCAAGGCTGTGTCAGGGAAGTGGGTGGAAGGCCCGGGGCTGGCTGGGATGAGCTCAGGAGGCTATGTTTTGCTGTGGGCCTGCTCTTCAGTGGACTGGTGGCCTCCAGATCCCAGGGTGGCTCCTGCACTGGTGGTCCCACCCACAGGCCTGTGTCCACCTTGTCTACCCTTGCAAAGGTCCCACTGTACACACCTTAGGGCTGGCAGCAATCACACTGGGGTTTTTATTAGACTTTCTGTGGGAGACCTGGACGCCTCTGTCTGCCGTCCAGCTCCTCAGCCCCTCCCCTGCTCCTGGGCTGTTCTGGGGGGCCAAGAGGGAGTTGCCCACCCTGCCCCAACCTTCTAAGGCCTGGGGCTGCTTCCCTGAGACAAGCCAGTTCCCACTGTCTCCCCCTTTGCCTGGGCCAGGCTGCCGGGTCTCTGCAGGCCCCAGCAGAGCCACCGGCCTTCACTGCAGGCTGACCTACAGCTTGGTGTTGAGGTGCAGGAAGTGGGGTGCTGCGTAGGCTGTGATGGGTGGCACGTGCCAGACTGATGAAGCTGGGCCAAGTCTGTGGCGGAGGGTGCTGTCAAAGGAGGTGGGGGGGAAGTGCATCAGGCCAGCGGCCATGGGTGCAGGGCCTGCAGTGGCCAGGAAGTGGGCCGGGAAGGCAGGGACGACCAGGGGGCTGAAGGGGAGAGCAGCCTGGCCCTTTAAAGGGTCTGAGGTGCTGGCGAAGTTGAGTGGGCACTGTAGCATGGGACCCCTGTGGGCGTCCAGCGGAGCAGGCCCCAGCCCTGGGCCCAGCAGGCAGGAGACAGCCAGGCCAGGTGCTGTGGGCTTGGTCCTGCCCTCCTTGGCATCCGTCTCCTTAAGGAAGGGAGACACCGCCCGCAGTTTTTTGCTGCTGTGGGCAAAGCCCTCTTCTTCCCAGGTGCGCTTGTTGCCCAGGCCTGGGCTGCCGGCGAGCCGGGGTGGGGCGCCTGGGCTCTCAGCAGGGACTTTGGCCATGGGGGACACCCAGCAGGCTTTGGGCTTGGGGTAGAAGCTGCTTTTCCTGGAGCCACCTCTATGGAATGCAGAGGGACGGCTGGCATCCCCGCCCCACAGCAGTGGGGGCTCTTTGGCGGAAGGCCCCTCTTCTTTGGCAGGAGTCTCCGACAGCACCCTGTCCTTCAGGCTGGAGAAGAAGTCCCGGGGGTGCCGGCTGACGGGCTTCAGCACCTCAGTGCGGCAGGCACGGAAACAGCCTGTGAAAGTGGGGGCTGGTGGGCTGGGGCCCGCCTGGGCCTCCACCCTGGGGGTACCACCCAGGGCCGGCGGTCCCTGAGGGGGCAGCTGGGGCCTGGAACTCTCAGCCAGCCTCTCGGGGCTCCGGGGGCGCTCCAGGGGCTCCCTGCTGGGGCCACCCGCTCCGTGGAGACAGCCCTCCTCCTGGCACTGCAAGGCCTCTGCCTTGCTGACGTGGGCCAGGAGCTTCTTTTTGGCCAGTGGTGACATGATGCCATGTGTCCCTTTGCAGAAGCTGGACAGGAGCCGCTTGTAAGCCTCAGGGCAGCCGCCGGCACCCACAAGGGGCAGAGAGGGCCCGGGCACGGGGCCCTGCTGTTCCGTGCTGTCCTTAGGGGGCTCCTGGCTGGGCAGCTGTGCCAGGTCTGTGCCTGTCTCGGCCTTTCCTGGCACCATCTAGAAGGAGAAAAGGCCGCTTCAGGGCTGGTTCAGGCCATGCCTCCGACCCAGGGAACTGCAGCAGCAGGGCTCAGGGGTGTCCAAGGGCCACAGTGAGCCTCTGCAGCATTTTGGGGAATATTTTCTCAAGGCGTCCGGTCCTCTGAGTGGACATGGTGTGTCAGCAGGACACAGGGCTGGGTGAAGGGGTGAGCTGGACTTCAGAGCCCAGGCATGACCATCACCGAGGACCTGCAGCCCCCGGGCCTGCCCTCAGTCAGTCCTGGGTCCTCCAGGACGGGCAGGAGGGCCCCAGAGGGAGGTGCAAGGGACTGGGGATGGGGAGGCTCCGCCACCTGGCGCTCACCTGGTCCACCTGCCTCTCCTCCTTGGCCTTCTTTGGCCTCTCAGTGGCCCCGTCATCCCCCCGGGGCTCCTTGGCCACCTTGTACTGTTTCCTGGGCTTGGAGGGGGGCAACGGCTTGTCGTCCTCTCCCTTCAGGTGCCGGACATACGG